TGCTGGTCCCTCAAATAATTTTTTTAAGGTTTTTCCATAAGGGATGTGCGCTCACCAGAGACAGAGAAAGATAGTGGGAAGGAAAGTGAGAAATCATCCCTGGGGGATGGCCATGTAAATCCCTTCTCCTCCATTCTCCTCTCAGGATTTTGGGCATGCACACATGTGCCTGGCATGATTTTGAAGGTGTCAGATCCAGGATTCAAACTATGGTCAACTATGTGGGAGTCCAGCATCTTTACCAGTATGCCACCTATCGGCCCCAATTTCAAATAATTTTAAATGTTAAAAATCAAATCACACATGGTAATAGACTGAAGATGGCTTGGACAGGTAGCAGTGGGCACTAATTTAATGAAGTGATCAGGGAAGGTCTCCCCAGAGAGGTGGACATTTCAGCAGAGATTTAAACTTAATAAGGAAATGAGCCACAGAAAGAAGTAATGAAAGAAAGTTACAGGCAGACATTACCTAGTACCCTGGGATGGGAATTAACTTCCATTTCTGGTTACAAAAAAAAGGCCACAGTGGCTCAAGCACAGTGACAGAGAATAAAGCTGACATGCAGTGCTACTGGGAGGGTGGGAAGGATCCTGAACACACAGGACAGCCTAAGATACGTCACAGAATGCTGACTTTACCCTGCTTTCACTGGGATGCCATTAGTAAGATAAGAATAAAAAGAATATTATTGATTTATGATTTAAATATTAATTCTGATTGATGTGAGAACGGATTTGACATAGTGGAAGCAGGTTGACCAGTCAGACGATTTTCCACAGTCTCTGTAGGAGACAATAGAGAGAGAGAGATGTGGGCTTAGCTGAGTGAAGGTGCAGACCATGCGATTCAAGTGATACTTTGGAAGACTACAGAATGTGTAGACGGGATTATTGGGATGTGAGGCAAACAAAGCAAGGGTGAGCTGCAGGATTTCAGTAAAAAAAATAAAAAGGTGAAGGTTCATGCCATCTGCCAGGATGGAGAGGACTGACAGCGGACAGGGTCCTAGTTCGTGTCAGCGAGTGACGGAATCACGGGTTCCACTGTGAAGCAGGTTAACATGTGGGAACATGCAGAATGACTAAAAGTGGCCATGCAATTGCTTGCTCTTACATGATACATGAGTCGGCCCTTTGTCAAAACGAGATCATACCGAAAGTTGAACAACGCTTTTACGGTAAACAAGCCATTCCAAACTCTATCTAGGATGCAGTGAAACTCCAGGAAGGGAAAGAAACTTAGAGAGTAGCAGCAGAATAAATACATAAAAATCAAAACGCTGCAAGAACAGACAATAAAGGAATGCCTTCTGATGTGCTGGTCTCACTCGCAAGAAACACTTGCTAGACCACCGCCCCTTCCCAGGCCCAGCCCCTGCCAGCCCCACGGTACTGCCCAGTTCTGAGCCGTCCATGGCTGGCTGGACTAGGAAGGACGTCTGGCCCAAGCTGAGCCACATGTGGCGTCTGTGTTGAAATCCGGAGTTAAGGTCAAGTGATGGCTGTGTCCATTTTGAGTGAGACTTGAGTTTTTACTGAAACTTGCTAATGTGGGAATGTTAGGTTGACCTCATGTTACTCTGAGAATAGAGAAAGCTGGTGAGAGGACAGAAGAGGGAAGCAGGTGACAAGAAAAGGCGGCCACAGGGGAAGGAGAGAGTCCTGGCTGCTGTCCAGGCTGCATGCCTGGTTCCTCCAGATCCCTCGGCACCTTCCCACAGCCTCTAGAAGCCCACGGGATGATCACCCTGAAGAGCACCTCGTGCCGGCACTCAACAGGAGGGGCCGGGGCAGCTGGAGGGGCACATGGCCTCCTCGTCACTGTCACACTGCCACAGTGTCTCGGGCTAGGTCACAGCATAATGTGTGACTGTCCCAGAAAGAAAGAAGAGTTACAGGCAGCAGTGTGTGGCAGAGCGAGAAACACCAAAGGGCACGAGTCCCGGTGGGTAAACTGCAGACACTCAGACCGGCTCCAGCACCTGTGACTGCTGTACGTGCCAACCACTGTTGGTGTGGTCCTTCTCTAACATGTGAGTGGCATAAACACACAGAAAAGTCCACATAAGTGTACTGAGTTATCTTGAAAGTTTATTTAATAGTATTATATTCTTTAATTAGCTATAAGGCAGATGTGCTCACCAGAGAGGGAGAGAGAGAGAAATCAAGTCACCAGGTCTGGGGTTCAAACCACAGTCAGCCACGTGGGAATCAGCCCCTTAACCAGCCCCTTAATCACCTGCTGGTCCCAAGGGACTGAATTTTGACAAACTGAACTCACATACGCGATCAGCACATTTCACAATTGTTTTTGATTTTAGTACTTGGCGGGGGAGTGGGTATTTGGGTAGACTTACCATGTCGAATAAATCTCTAAACCTCCAGTAAATCTCTAAACTGAGTCTGAAGTAGCTTTTCCCATTGTCAGGCTTCCCACCATCACCTCCTTCCTCTCTCCCTCCACCCTGCTGGGCGATGCCGTGCCTGTTGCACAGGGGAAACGGAGGCTCAGTCATGTTGACTGTCACGTCCCAGCTCCTCCACCTCGAAGCAGAGCAGCTCTGTTCACTCCCCACTCTCTGCTATCCAGCTACCTCCCTGGTCTGGGTAAAGTGAGAGCAGACAGTTACCAGCGAATCATTTAAACAATAATCTATGGTGCATAATAAGAAATAAGGTTTGGGGACCAGCAGTTAGCATAATGGCTATGTTGCTGGACTCCCATGTAGTCGACCGCAGTTTGAGTCCCAGACCCAGTGGCTTAAAACTCATACCAGGCGCGTGTGCATGCGTGCCCAAGATCCCGAGAGGGGAATGGAGGAAAAGGGATTGCGGCATGGCCATCCTCCCTGGGGGGTGATTTCTCACTTTCTGTCTCTGTCTCTCTCTGTCCTTCTGGCAAGTGCACGTGCCCTATAGCAAACCCCCCCCCCCAAAAAAAAAGGAAAAAAAAATAAGGTTTTAAAATGGACATTGAAGGAATCCATGAAGCTGCCATTATCAAACTAAAAAGTGATCAAATAAGAATAGTGTTACAAGAGATGATTCTAGACATACATAGGTAAGGATAAAAATTTAAAGCAACCAGAAGTGTTTAAAGGAAAAGCTGAAGGACCAGAGTGACTGCATTTCTTTGGAGGGCGACTCCATTTTGTTAAACCCACCTTGCTGAGAATCGGCCCCATCTCAAGTAAGAGAGGGTCATGAGAAGAACAAAAGAAATACCAGAGACCTGAAGTAACTTTCTTGCCCAATTAATGGTCTGAAGACCAATCAGTAAAAGACAACGATACTTCTTGAAATCTACAGCCAATGTATAGCTGCCTGAGCGCATTCCTCAGCACTCCTCGACCTCCCCCTCAACAGCCAAATACAAACCCGGCCCAACTCACACCGGGGCTCTCAACTCTGACCTGCCGTGTCAGTAAGATTGAGAGTCCTGGCTCAAGCCCGAATAAAAACGACCCTCATGTGCTTACAGCAGAATCGGTTCCTTGTGGGTTTTTGGGAATTCTGTGACCGGGGCACTACAAGACCAGAGAAGGTCGTAGCACAATGGTGAACAGGACTAGGTTCATGAACATCTGAAGGGATGTCCAGCTGGAGTTGGAAAGGCGGAAGTGAGGACAAGGGCGTGAAGCAGCTTTTCCCTGTCCAGGCCTCGGAGCCCAAGGGCGGCAAACACGTGGTGTATGGTGGAAACTGGAGTGGAGTGGCTATTGGGGTCCCTGAGAAGACCATTTCAGTGCTCGGTATTCACACCATTAGGAGCTGTGTCATACAGGGAATGCGAAATGCCACAGCTTTTACTCACTCCCATCTCAAACTTTTTACCCCCTCCACAGCAAAAACCAAAACACTTCTGTAGGAAGGAATCATTTGAAAGACGTGGGAATGAAAGCCTATTCAACTCGTGTCGACAGCTGAATGGTGGATGCGGTAGACCATTTCTAGCAGCCCTGTGCAAAGATTGGGAAGCTTATGAAGTTTGAGTTTTCTTATCTATTGTTGTTGTTTTCCTTGTTCATCATTTGTACATAGTTGGCGAGCAGGTCCTCTGGCCTTTCCTTCCTCCTTTCTCCCCTCCCTTTCCCGCCTTCCTGTTCTGCAGCGGTAAAATTCGCAGGACCTGTGCTTGTGTCACTGAGGCGACTTCTCAAGGTACTGAATAATAACGATTCTGGTTAGATGGCGAACCCTGAGCAATGGAGTATATCGCGATTATAGGCATATTCGACAGCTCCTTCTAACTGCACCTGATAAATATCTTCCTTTGAGCCCTATCCTGTTTGTTCAGAGAAGAATTGGTTCTGGCCTTACATTCAGTACATGAGTCACCAACGTATCCCAGCATGGATCAGACATTAGACACGTGGGCAGATCTTAATTAGAGGAGTCTGTTTTAACTACACAAACATTCCACAGGAAGGCAAGTGAGCTGCTCAAACTTACCTTTTTTTTTTTTTCTTTCTGGTAATGGTGTGCACATTTGTTCCCACAATTAATTTATAAAATTTGTATTACGGCTTAAAATATTAACTCACATTTCCTCCTTGAAAAAAATTTGTCACATTTTTCCTTCTAATTCCTTCATTTCTTGTGTTGGAAAAAAGTCAATAATCTCCATGCTCCAAAGGCTGTATCATACTCAACCTCTCCCCGCTTCCCTACCAAATTAAAACCAACAAAACCAATAAGGAAACAAACTAAAGAAGGGGGAAGGAAAACCGTAAGGAACAATGGAAGACATTAAAGTTTGGTGTCATAACAACAGAATGGAAATGATCTTAAACATGGCACTACCCAGGAGGGTGGCCTCGTCCAGAGCTGCTGTCACCACCAGGATAAATACATCGATCAGACGTATCTTCTAGAACACATTCCATACATTTTTGCTATTTTTGCTGTAAGTTTTATGGCTTATGCACTTCTTTCTGGGGATTCTGGAAGAAGGAGAGATGGCTGAGAGTTAAACCCCTGCTGCCACTTCATACTCACAGCAACTGCCTCCAGGATCTGCTTAACCGCATCTGCAGCATCTCGCTCACTGTAGTAGCCCTTTTCCACAATCCTAAAAAAGAAGAAAAGCCACACACAAAGCAAAACATGAATACTTCTCAGAAACATGCGTTCTGTCGCGTGGATGTTAAAAGAACTTAACTCAGGTCAGGTTGACGAAGCAGCATCTAACCAAATACAAATCAACTGCCATAACACCAAGGGAAGGATCTCTATAAATCAGCACTTTACACATCTTTGAGTTTACTTAGGAAAGTGAAAAACATTTATTTTGTCCATCTGGTTTGAGGGAAAAACAATACTTTCTTTTCTAACTTTATATCGCCAAATCCTTTAAATATACACCAAGTAGACATACAATGGACCATTTCCAAGTCACTGTCACACAACCTCAACAACTATTAGTGCATAGCTAATTTTATTCTATCTAGCCGCTGAATTACTTCCACTCTCTTCATTATTTTGAAGCAAGTCGGAGACATCATACAATTTCATTTCTAGACATTTTAGGAAGGTATCTCTATAAGAGATTTCTTAAAATCATGACGATAGGGGAACCAGCAGTTAGCGTAATGGCTATGTCGCTGGACTCCCACGTAGTCGACCGTGGTTCGCGTCCTGGACCCGGTGGCTTAAAACTCACACCAGGTGCATGTGTGTGCATGCCCAAGATCCTGAGAGGAGAATGGAGGAGAAGGGATTGCAGCGTGACCATCCCCCCTGGGGGGTGATTTCTCACTTTCTGTCTCTATGTCTCTCTTTGTCTGGTGAGCGCACGCGCTCTGTAGCGAAAAACTTCTCAAAAAAAAAAAATCATGACCATAGTATCAGTATCATATCTATAAATTAAATTTTTTAAATATTATTAGATATGCAGTCTTTCAAATTTCCAGTCTTCTTGGACATATTAATTTTTTGTATGTGTGTCTGAATCAGTTTCCAAATGAAGTCCATAAAATCTGATTGGTTCTGATTCTCTTCTACCTGTAGGTCCTCTCTTTCTTTCTGTCACTCTCTCTCCCCTTTTTCTCTCCCTGGCTCTCTCCCTTCTCTTTCTCACCCCTCTCTGCATTTTTGGGGATTTGTTTTAAAAGCTAGTCACTTGTTGATTAGAGTATCCCAAAGCTTGGTAATGTGATTCTATCCTCGGTGTTCCTGAATCTGTAGCTCTGTCCTGTTTTCTTGTCACTGGGTAGTCGTGCCTGGGTCTTGATCAGATTCAGATGGATTTTTTGGCAGATACATTTTACAGGAAGTGGTGTGCATTTTCATAAGGAGTCGCATGTTTGATTTGTCACCATTTTTGTGTTAACACCAGGTGATTATCAATGACTAGATCCATCAAATCACTAGAGGTTATGGATTGGTAAAATTGAATTCCACTATCATTTCTTCTTTATTAGCTGAAAATTTGCTAATGACACAATTTCTAAAAGGAAATGTAAGATAAATTCTTATGTTTTTAACTTACCAATTTTTAAAAACTGAGATAGTTCATGAACATCTTCAAACAGTGACCAATCTAGTGCTTTAGTTTATTTTTTATCATTTTGAAATTTTGAATATAATTGTATTTAAGGTTTCAATCTGCCCCAGTTCTTTTCCTCACTGATGTGGAAACTGTTTCATCTTGGGTCAGTGGTAGATTCTCCTACTTTTTGTTTCTTAAAATGAATGACATGCATTTTAATAGAGTGATGTCCTCTGGACCTATTGAGGAATTCGGGACAATGTGCTCTACAGTAAATCTACATTACCATACTTTTTTGTCTTCTATTCGCTATAGGGCACATGTGCTCGCTGGAGAGAGACAGAGAGAGAGAGAGTATTCCCACAGGAGGATGGCCACACCACAATCCCTTCACCTCCATTCTTTTCTTGGGAACCCGGACACACACACATGTGCGCCCAGTATTTTTCAAGCTGCTAGGTTCAGGACTTGAAACCCATGTAGGATCCAGCTGCCTTAACCACCATGCCACTGGTTGGTCCCAAGTTTGCTTTTGAAGTTTTGGTGGCTCCTTCTCTGACTGGTATCATACCATGCTCCAGGCTGGTTTTGTACATTTGTTGCCCTAAACCTGGAATAAGTCACTTTTCCAAGGAGTGCTATTTCCTTTAGACAAGTATGGAACATGTTTATTATGAAAAAATGCTAGGGGGCGGCAATGTGGTATGGTGGTTAGGATGGTTGGCTTCCAAATGGCTGACTGTGTGGTTCGAGTTCCAGACCTGACACCTTGAGAATCATACCAGGTGTGTGCGAGTGTGTGCTCAAAATCCTGAGAGGAGAATGGAAGAAAAGGGACTGCAGTATGGCCATTCCCCCTGAGGAGATTTCTCACTTTCTCTCTCCATCTCCTGTCTCAGTCTCTGTCTCTCTTTCTCTCTCTCTCCCTCTCTCTGGTAAGTGCATGTACCCTGTAGCAAAAACAAAAGAAAACAAATGCTAGGGAAAATCTCTTGTATTATTTATTTATTTTTTAATTTAAATGTATTTATTTACATTCATTTACTATACATCATTATAGCATATAAAATGAGATTTTCCATCCAGAATACACTGTATATTGGCTTAAACACATCAACATATGTGTTACTGTCAACAAATAATTTTCCATCTCTTGTTTCTTGTATATTTTGCTTTTTATCTCATCCTTGATTCCCTCTCTCACACCCTTTGCCATCCCCCGCCCCCTCCCACACTGTCTCTGGTATCCATGGTTGCTTTCTATGCCTTTTTCTCCCCACATTTTATTGATTCACTAGAGATCTTAATTAATCTAAATACTTTCAATAGCAAGCGCAGCTGATATATACATAGCCATGAACACAAGTCTGACTTTAGGCATAAACCTCAGTGAGCAGAGTGAACATACTATGAAGTAGCACCTCGCTGGGGCTGTAAAGCTTACTGCAGTCATCAAAGAGTACTTTAATGCATTTTTTTTTAATTTCAAGAACAACAGTTTTCGTGGATTTTCTTTCTGAAAATTTTTTTAAAATTAATTAATTTACATTCATTCCCTAAGCATTGTCACAGCATACAAAATGTGATTCCCCATCCAGAATATACTGCATAGTGGCCTAATCATGCATGTTATTATCAATAATTTTCCATTTCTAGTTTCATATATATATATATATATATAATATTTCATATATATATATATAAATACACACACACACACACACACATATATATATATTTTTTTTTTCTGGAGCATGCGCTCGACAGACAAAGAGAGATAGACAAAAAGCAAGAAATCACCCCCCCAAGGGGGAATGGCCACACCGCAATCCCTTCTCCTCCATTCTCCTCTCAAGATCTTGGGCACGCACGCACACATGCCCGGCGTGAGTTTAAGCCGCCACCTCCAGGACTCGAACCACGGTCGACTACATGGCAATCCAGCAACATAGCCATTATGTTAACTGCTGGTCCCAGCACCCACGTTTTCAAAAGGCAACCATTGAAGTGACGGCCAGGGCCAGATGGCAGTGCAGCGTGTACGCAAGGATCTGGTTGGTGATCCTTTCTCCTTTCTCTTATGTAGTTCATTGTCTCTCTTCTCTTCCATCTCTATTAGCTTCAATATTATGAATATTCTAAATTCTTTATGAGACATTTCCATGATTTCCATTGAACTGTCTGTGGATGACAAGGAGATACTCTTTTCCCTTGGAGGAGAGGTATTTTCTTGCTTTCCTGTATTTCTTGTGACCCTGTGGTGATTTCTAGTCATCTAATGGATGGTGTGTTTCTTCCTAAACTTGAAGTTTAATCTGAGCGTTCGGGAGCATGCAGAAAGAGGTGATCTGGAATCTCTTTGCCGTTCTGTTTTGATCCCTTTGTGCAACAGATTCAGTGAATATTGAGAAGTATGTTAACCCTAATAGTATTGGGATGTTTGGCTGTAGTTCCCTTAGATCCTCCAGAAACACAGTGAATGGAGATTGAAGAGCAGAGAGATGAGATCAAAGAAAAAGGAAACAGAGTGAGAGAAACAATAACCACCAAGAAACAGAAAAAAGAAGGAAAACATTTAAAACTAAAACAAATTTTTTTTATAAAAAACAAAAAATAGAGAATTGCACAGCATGCTTGCATGCTGCATGAAATCACTAGTTCTCAGGAGCCATGTAGGTGTCTTCTTCTGAAGGCCTGCCTCTCCTGGTTGGGAAGGGGAGAGGGAATTAATAACAAGATAAAGAAAAAGGAGGGGCTGAAAGTTGAGAAAATACTTCACCTTAAAAATTTTTAAAAAGGAAAAATTACCAAAAAATGAGAAGACAGAGAGAGAGAGACAGAGCCAGAGACAGAGAGAAGGCCTGAGGGGCTTCCTACCACTCAAGTTTGTGGGCTGGAGGCTGAATTATCAGTAGAAAACCTTCATTTGTCTTTTTTACCCTGAAATCACTAGTTCTCAGCAACCATGAAGGTGTCTTCTTCTCATCTCTTGTATCTTAATTCCAGTTTCCACAAACTTTAAGTACTTGTTTGTTTGTTTATTTATAGAGATTTTTGCTACAGGGCATGTGCCCTCGCTGGAGAGACAGAGAGAAACAGAAGGACAGAAAGCAAGAAACCACCCCCGAGAGAGAATGGCCATGCCACAGTCCCTTTTTCTCCATTCTCCCCTCGGGATCTTGGACACGTATGCGCACGTGCCCAGCATGAGTTTTAAGCCACCAGGTCTAGGACTTGAACCGTGGTCGACCATGTGGGAGTCCAGTGATGTAACCATTCTGCCATCTGTTGGTTCCAATACTTCCTTATTTATATCACCCCATCTCTTAGCTAAGCAATCATACTTTCTTGTGTTATATTAATATGTATGCCAATATTATATATGATTAATTACTATGTAGTCTATTTCTTATGTCTAATTTAAATTTTTCACATTTAGAAATGTTTGCATTTTTGTTCTAATGTTTTCAATATTAATATCATCATATAATAATATTAGTCTCTTTTTTGTCTATGAGTTCCCTACTCTTGCCAATACTGATATTAATTAGCAGTCCAGCTAGTATCAGCTGACACTGTAG